GGGGAACTCTCCGTCCCTATGTTCTGTCTCTTCCATGTACTTAATGGGGGAGAGACATACTCAAACAGTGGAATTTACAGCTAATCACGCAAGTGGATTCAAAGCAGGATTTTTCTGAGAGGCCACTGTGCAACAGCCGTGGCTCAAATTAGCCTGGAAAACAGACACTACGGTTTGGGTGGACCAGTGGCCATTGAAATCAGAGCAGCTAGAATGGGCACAGAAATTAGTACAAGAGCAATTAGAAGCAGGACATATTGTTCCATCTAACAGACCCTGGAACACACCTATATTTGTAATCCCGAAAAAGTCAGGAAAATGGAGATTATTGCAAGATTTAAGAGCAGTGAATGCTGTCCTTCAACCTATGGCAGTGTTGCAGCCTGGAATTCCTAATCCGATGCTTATTCCTGACTCTTGGGACATGGTTGTTCTGGATCTGAAGGATTGCTTCCTTTTTACCATCCTGTTACATGAGAAAGATAGTGAAAGATTTGCTTTTTCTGTTCCCAGTATTAATCACAGCGCTCCTATGCGACGATATCAATGGGTTGTATTGCCTCAAGGGATGATGAATAGTCCTACGATCTACCAGTTAGTTGTTGATTCTGCATTCCAGCCAGCAAGACAGCAGTTCCCAAAAGCTCACATATATCACTATATGGACGATACCTTAATAGCAGCAGCTAATTCAGTGAAGGTTGAGCAAATTTTTATGGTGGTACAACAGTGCCTGTGACTTTATGGCTTATAGATAGCACCGGAAAAGGTAAAGAGAAGCTCCATGGAAGTATTTAGGCTGGAAAGTTTTTGAAACTACAGTATTTCCCTCTTCTATAAAATTGCACATTAATGTCAAAACACTCAGTGATTTACAGAAATTGCTAGGGACCATTAACTGGATTCGGTCAATGCTCAGTATTACTACAGAAGACTTATCCCCTCTTTTTGATCTGCTGAAGGGTGACCCTGATTTATCATCTCCGCATCAATTCACTGAAACAAGTCAGCAAGCTCTGCAACTGGTCATCCAAAAAATTCACATGGTTTTTGCAGGCTGTCGACGTCTGAATGCCCTGATTGCTTTACTTGTAATTTATAGTTCTTTTCAACCTTATACTCTAATAGGACGATGGGTTACAGAGGACCAACAAGTCATAATTTTAGAGTGGGTTTTTTTTGTCACACTTGTTTCCTAAAACATTAACTACAACTGTGGATATGCTAACTTCTCTGGTACACAAAGCCTGCCAGCGATGCCAGGTTCTGGCTGGTTTGGAGCCAGCTGTAATTTATCTGCCTTTCAAGAAAGATGTTTTTCATGGTTTACTTTTGCAATCTTTATCTTTGCAGACTGCCTTTGCTGACTTTTTAGGAGAAATCATCTTTCAACTGCCGAGACACAGGTTTCTACAGTCATTATCCAAATTACCCTTTCAGCCACAAGATCTCTGTTCCAGGACTCCAATAGCTAATGCCGTCACTGCTTTTATTGACGGTTCGGGCAAGACGGGAAAGGGTGCTGTTGGATAATCACTGTCCCCGGCAGTCAACAGTGATTACAGTTTCTGCATCAACACAGATTGTTGAGTTTTCTGCGGCTATAAAAGCATTTGAGTTATTCAGTGCCCAAGCTTTAAATATTGTTCGTGACTCTCAATATGTCGTAGGTATCATAGCTCAGATTGGAGACTCTTTGCTTTATGCACTTGTCTCATTTGGTACGTTCTCGTCACCATGCTTATTTTGTTTGTCATATTCGTTCTCATACCAACTTGCCAGGACCAATCGTAGAAGGTAATTCAGTGGCAGATAAGTTAACCATAACAGCTGTGGTGCTGAATCTTTTTGAACAGGCGTGTCTGTCTCATTCCTTTTATCATCAAAACACTTTGTCCTTACAGAAATCTTTTCATTTAACAAGAACGCAGGCACAGGATATCATTCGTGCATGCCCTGATTGTCAGATATTTGCCTCATTACCCACGGCAGGAGAAGTTAATCCACGAGGTCTTTCAAGCAATGAACTGTGGCAAACTGATGTTACACGTGTCCTCCTTTGGGACCCTTAAATACTTACATGTTACGGTTGACACTTTTTCTGGTTACATTTATGCATCTGCTAGAACAGGTGAAAAAATTAAAGATGCTTGAAACCACTGGCTCGCTGCTTTTGCAGTCATGGGTATGCCAAAATCCATCAAAATAGACAATGGCTCTGCCTACACTGCTGCTTCAACACTGCATTTTTTGCAGGACTGTGGAACCACACATGTTCCTGGTCTCCCTCATGTTCCCACGGGCCAAGCTATTGTGGAATGTACTCATCGCACTCGGAAAGCGATGCTGGAAAAACAAAAAAGGGGGAATACCCTAACCTCAGTGCATGATTGGGTACAAAAGGCCCTGTATGTTTTAAATTTTTTGAATATGCAGGACGATATCTCTCCAACTACTGCCGTACAACAACATTTATCAGCAAAACCCTTTTCAGCATCAAAACCAAAGGTCTGGTATAAAGATCCTGAGACACATCAGTGGGAAGGACCTGTTGAGCTAATTACTTGAGGAAGAGGGTATGCGTGTGTTCTTCTTCCTGCAGGACCTAGGTGGTTGCCAGCTAAATATATACGGTCTTATTACGAGCTGGAACGACGAACTGCAGAATCCACTTCCAGAAATCCAGGGCCTGCAGGTGATACTTTGGAACAACAGAGCCAGGAAGAGAGAACAGATGACCAGTGACACCAGCATTATCTGGGGTCGACTCGAACTTCTAGATGAGCAAGTATAATGTATCATGACAACAGTGGGTGCAGTATAAACGCCTGGCAACATCTTTTTAGCTTATTTGGCCTTGATCTTTTCTGCATCTAAGGTCTGTATTGCTTAGTTATTCTGTATCATATCAGCAGTAGTCATTTTAGTTACTGCCTCTGTTGCAGTCACCTTATTAACGGAAATCTGTGTAGATTAAACTGCCTCTGATAACATCTTGCAAGAGCTATGAATTTAAGCAAGTTAATTAAGCCCTTATGGTTTGTTTAGATGCCTTAGAATCTGCTATCATGTGGTTAGACGATAAACGACATGCCTTGTAAACTAGAAGTACGTTGTGGTGTGAATTATAGTAATCTTTGTTAAGTTTTGCAGTGACTACATTGAATTTCCCATTGAGCGGAATCATGGAGCACCGAGCGATGGCTGTCTTCCTCTATCGTGCTGAATACAGAAAGGGGGGAGATGTAGCAAGCCAAGTGTGAGAACAAGAAGAGAAAGGCCTGAGGAACGTCTAGATGACCTTGTATTGTTTTCTCTAAGCCGTGATTTACTGCCCAGAAACGAGCTAAACCCTCCAGTTTGTAATTGACCATGCCGGGGTGTAAAAAAGGGTAACTTGAAACTCCAAGGTCTGTGTGTGTGGTGTCTGTGTGATAGGCCGGCCTGAGAGAGTGATGGATGTGTGACTTGCAGCTGTGTTCTGTCTTAATTTGCTTAACCACTCCCAGCTGAAAGTGAATGAGATAAAAACACTGGATCATGGCAATAAAGCGATTTCTGTCCATCAAGTCAGGAGTCCGTGATTCATTCCATCATAGTACATAAAGCAGAAGGCATCTCACAGCATACCTCATTCTATAGAAGCAACAAACCTTTATTTATTCACTGCTGAAAGTGTAACATGCAGATTGACTAGTCTTATTTTTTATGCAGTCCAATGCTGAATGCTTAAAAGAAAGTGACAATACTGATGAGAACTAGAACTTGGGGCACTTAACTTTGTTTAAACATGTTACCCATTTTTGCTTCATTGAAGTAGATGGATTTTGCCCTGGATTCTGTGAAAGGAAATTAGAAACAAAGTTTTTAAACCCTTTCTGTCAAAAATGGCTTGAAATAAGAACTGAAGCATATGACATTGAAGAATGATGATAATGTACTACAAAAGGTCTTCCTGTATGCATAAATACATTCTTAGCCATAGCCATCTTGTCTTTTGTGATGACAATGTTCCCTTTAGTACGGTAGCATTAATACTGAAAGAATAAAACATAGGAATGACAGAATGAAGTAAGCAATTTAAAGTGACAGCCTTCTGTTTCAGGTTATCCTGAATGCAAAAGAGGTTCATACTTATATACGTATATATATACTTATATATACTTATATATATAACCTATTTTCAGTTCTAAATAGATTTAACATTACTTAATAACTCTGCACATCTTTTCTTCTTAGTGAATGGAGTTCAGATCCAGAAATGTTCCATGAAATAAATGTTCCTTTGTATAAATCTGAGTTTTTCTGTAGGAGGCAGCAGGATGTTCAGATTCAGTGGAGTGTCAGTTTAGTAATTTTGTTCAAAGTGCTTGGTGAGAATAATCTTTCTCCTATAATGAAGCACAAGGATAAGTAATAACTTTTTATTCATGATAAGCATCAAAATATGAGCCTGCTGGTCTTTGCTTTTCATTTTTCATTACCTTTCAGTCAGAACTTCCTGCAGTGTGCACACAATGTGATCAATAACTCAATAACTTTTTTTCATGCAGTAATTATCTCTACGTGGTATTATCTGAACACTGGTTTTATTATCCAAAAGATGTAGGAGATATTTATATAATCAGATGATCCCTTTTCAGATGAAGCTGCTTCACAACAGCAGGAGAAAGTTTGGTTTAAATAGCCTTTTTAAAAAATGCTCTATGGAAAGATTACCAGGCAGTACTTTTTTCTAAGGAAAAAAGTATTCTAAATACTCTTTTGCACGTAATACTTTAATTAAGCACAAAGTAAATGGAAGTGTCCTGTAAATTAACAGAGTTTTAAGTAATTCTGCTGTGTCTTTTAATAAAACAGTCTATTTGGAAAATAGGTACCACTGCTCTGAAGTTCCTAGATGATGACTGGACTACTGTTTTCTCAGAATAGATTTATCTTAAAAAATAACATTCCTATCTGGAATACACTCTCATTTCATTGTCTTCTAATTTTCACAGATTGAGATCTTACAAGAGTCACGAATGATGATTCCAGACTGCCAGCGCAGATTAGAAGTTGCATATGCAGATCTTACTCAACTACTAGTAAGTATAGCACCAAAATCCACTGATCAAGAAATGCTGCTTTTCTGTGATGAATTTTGGATAAACATGCTTGTCTGTAGTGTAATTGCAGCATATTAGAACAGGATTGAAGAATTACTTCTTATAGATCCCAAGACTAGCATCTTATAACATACCAATATTTCATTTTAGATAACTGTCTTTGCAGACTTGGTCTTCAGTCTATGTGTATTAGAATACTAGAAGCTGTCTTTAAGGACGTGCACACAACATACACTTAAATACTGAATGGTTAAAATGGACTCTGAATTCCTGTGATAGTTACATGCTTCACTTGCTTTAGGTAATCTTTGTAGATCATGTAGATATATATAATATACTTGTAGTGGACTGAATTAGTCAAAATACTTTGCTTACCACTTTTATTATGCTATGGACAAGAAACAAGACAGCTGAATCCTTACTGAGTACGGCTTATGCAATTAATAAGAATTCTGCTACACATATAAATACTACTGTGAGGCTAAAAATACATGCCGTAAATTAAGCCTCAGACACACATGACAGCTAAAATGCAAAACCCTTTTCAAAGGAAAAGTCAAGGCCTCTTGCCCTTGGATGGCATGCCGCTACTGTTTTCCAAAATAAGTTCTCAGTACCTAGCAGGATTTAGGGTCCTTTTGCCATTCAACTAGCTACTTGACAGTTGGTCTACATTTCAGCAGCATGCAGAAGTGATGCTATTGATCCATACACTGTGCTGTACAGAGTTAAAACATGGAATGTGGGGAGTTACTATTCTTATTAAGAATTTGGTAGTCTTTAGAGGTTGCTTTCTGTTCTTAGCTCACCTTCAATGCTTAAAATCAACTATGTAGTAATATGTTTTTTCAATTCTCAATTTCTGCTTAAGCTTTTTTTCTTAATGGTACTCTTGTTCTGAGTTCTGTTGTTGGTTCCAGTTATGCTGTCCTGGGCTTCAAATATTTATTTAACAAAATAAAAGCATGCATAGGTCAAATCTATTCACACATGACAGCCATTATCCTGAAACTTAAGGAGGACAAAATAAATTGCCTGTACTTTGAATTATGTAAAATTAGTGTTTTCAATAATGATATATCCCTTGTTTCATAGTTTCCTTCTTAAATTTAATCCCATGGCCATTATTTTCAAAGTGCTCAAAAGTTTTGTTTTTAATTCCAGGAAAATGAAAAAGAATTGCAAGAAGCAGAAGAGTATAAAGAAGCATGTTCTATACTAGAGTCAGTGAAGCTGGAAGCCTAGAAGTTTTTCAGCACTCTCTTTATATGCATTTAGTACTGGGTCCATTCCACACTTTCATTTGACTATGGCTCTATTGCTATTGTTGTCTTGCTAAGGTTCTCTTTATGCAAACTGGCCTTTCTCTAACTGCTAGATGCATCAAATAAAGGATGTTCTGAAACACCTGTGTGTTCCATATTCAGGCAAAGTAGAAACATTTCCAGTTCACCTCAGTTACAAAAAGGAAAAAAATAAACCCTATTTAATGTAAGCATAATAGCTAATATACATAACTTAATCTGAACAATTCAGGTTAAGAAAGTTTAGCTATCTAAGGAATGTGAGGGACCAATAAATACTTTGGAGAGACCTTATATTTTAAATAATTTCAAGCCACTATAGCATAACAATCTTGCACTTAAAAAAGAGATTGAGTAAATGACCCTTCGACATCACCCATCTTTTTTTCTGTGATGCAATTTATTTGTAATTTTATTATTACTCCCTGTTCGGGTGCCATTTATGGACGGAATTAATATTACACGGACTTCTGACTTGATGGACAGAAATCACCTTATTCCCCCATGACTCAGGGTTTTTATATCATTCACTTTTAGCTGGGAGTGGCTAAGCAAATTAAGACAGAACACAGCTGCAAGTCACACATCCATCACTCTCTCTCAGGCCGGCCTGTTCACACACACAGCACATACACAGACCTTGGAGTTTCAAGGAACTCCTTTTACACCCACATATGGTAAGAATGCAAACAGGACAGCTGAGCTTGTTTCTGGGAAGTAAATCATAGCCTAGAGAAAACAACACAAGGTCATCTTTAGACATTTCTCAGGCCTTTTTCTTCTTGTTGTCACACTGGCTTGCTACAGAGCCCAAGACAGAATTAAGAACTGATTCCAAATCTTTCTTAGTTTGCCTGGGGTTGATTTGTAGAACCCAATTCACACAATTACCATTGATCAAAATTCTGTTACTTTTTCAAGAAACATAATTTAGCAAATGACTAGTATCTTGTCAGTTGGATCTGCTGGTAAGAGTATCTGGCCTGAATGCTTTTCCTGAAAGCACTTTGGCTTAAATGAGTTTCTTTGAACAAAGCTTAAACCCCAGAAGCTGGAAGAGTACTAAGAAGTAAGGGAACAATGCTTAATTTCCCTGGAAGACCAAGGGAACAGCGCTAATCTTCCTAGAAGACCAAACATTTACAAAAGCTATGGTTCTTTCAGAATGGCTTCTCTAAACAGCAAAGAGTAAGCTCTGATGAACAAGAAAGTTTTTTCCTTCATTTTTCTAGTTTTAAAGGTTTTTTTGCCTGTTCCTTAAAGAAAACACAAAGTACAGTGTACCTTTTTTGTGGTACTATATTCAATACTTTTATTAAAAGTTTTTGTTAATTTGCCTGAGTTTGGGTAAACTGCAGTTTCAGTACCTCTATTTGTGTACCTTACTCTCAATGTGCTTGATAAATCTACTTATCACTCTTTAGCACTGCTGTGACAGACTATCAACACTGCAAGATTTCTGATTGAGTACAGAATGACCTACTTTTGAAGTGACCCCAGACTAGTATTAGACAGCACTAAGAGATAAAAACCGTTTCTGACAACACTGGTTTCATAAGAGCACATGCACACCTTCTTACCAGCATTGTGTCCTAGGCGTGTAACTGCCAAATGGACACTGCCCTGTTTGCAGGGCAAATGAACTGCTCCTGAGGAGAACATGTCTTTGTATACTCACTTCAGTCAGTTTCTTCTATGAACCTTCATCAGGAACAGTGGCTGGAGCAGACAAAGCCTGCCTTAGCTGACTGACTGTAGTCAGCATAACAGTAACTATGCTTGCAGGCCCTTGAATGGAGTGTGGTGAATAAATGCTGAGCTGAAAAGGTGTGTGGGGATGTTAAGTCTACTGGGTAAGGCAGAATTTAAAGTAAAAAATACTCTTCAGAAGAAATAATATATACTTCTGGAAAACAAACCCACAGAAAAATGATGTGTAGTTGCTGAGTACCACATGCAGGTCAGCATGAAATCTAAACATAGGTGGGACCTGTAGTGACTGAAACGAAGTAGCATTGTGGTATGGTTTAAGTTGGCATTTAGAGTTTAAGGGCGCATGGGACTGAGTAGTTAATATATAAACCAGACTCCAGGGAAAAGTTTCTTATTGCAATAGTTCCTAGGGTAGAATAGTTTCTCATATTTGCCTATACATGTCTGTCAAGGCTATTTTCTAGGTCCCTTTGATTACATAATGAATTAAGATGATACTCTCTCCTATTCATTTCTTCTTCCCTCTTACTGAGTTCTCCAAAAGACTGAGCATATTCTGTTGTACAGAAAAAAACCAGACTCACTGATGAAAATTGAGGTATGTTCATACCTGAAAGGAATGGCTCTCTTCTTGTCTCTGGGTACCCCAAAAGTGTCTGAGAGGACAGCAGCATAATTATCTGTAAAAACTATACCAAAAAATTTTGACAATGCAGCAATAACATAGGGCGGGTCCTTGAAGAATCATTTGCCTTGAAGGCAAATCCATGCAGGTAATGCATTACTCATGTTAGTGGAACAGTTGGTCCAGTGATATATTATGGCAGACTAAATTTTTCCAACAGTGCTCTGAGTGGCCACATGCAGATTATTGATATAGAAGATTATTTTTGCTGGGTCTAATTTCCATAGTGAAGTAAAATACAGAAAATTAAGCCTAAATAGTAATATTGTTGTCATCTCAGATCTCAAACTCAAAAGGCAGTAGCACATCAAGTGACACCATGTTATTTCTAATTTTGGATTACATACTCATTTTGGAGATACATAGTCTGCATTATCAGATACAAGAGCCCATTACAAAAAAGAAAAGTCCTGTGGGCAACATTTTTGACCTCTGTCCTCTTTGAACCTTGCCACTAGCTTAACTGATGCCTTTCAAAGTCTACCTAAGATTGACACAATCTGTATTCACCCTTACATATGATGGATGATACATGTCCATTTAGCACTCAGAAGTTTTCATACTGCACTCTTATCATAAATGCATTTTTATGCCTATCATAGGTTTACTTGTTCTAGAAAAACAAGCAGGGAATTTTTCTTTCCTCTGCATCACTGTAAAAGAAAGATGTTGAACAAGGGAGGGGGAAGGGGTTTGCCTAGGGTAATTGACCCACACAAAAGAACTAACAAGCAGATCCACATTCCAAGCTGATGGCCCTCCAAAGACTGTGGGGAGGGGTGAGGAGGGTTTTTTTTCTCTCTCCTCAGAAACGGGAGGCACTGCACTTTTGCCTTAACTCAGGCAAGGTGTGTGTTGGAGGGGTCCTAGGTTCACTTTGTTTTCGGCCTGGTCACCTGGCTGCTTCTGGCCCTGGTTTGCCTCCGTTTTCCTGCACCCTGTTCTGCCCCCAGCCCAGACCTGCTCGGACTTCATCAGAGAGGCTTGACCCAGCTGCAGAGGAACTTTTTGGGAAGGAGATCACCTTTTTCCTCCTCTGCTTCCATGTTGGCAGTGGCATGTGTCCATCGATGCAAGGGGGGAATTCCCGGCCACAGCCAGCCACAGACAGCGTGAGTTTCATGGGAAGAACCCCCTTTGTCCCCTTTTTTCCCCTTCCCCTTCTCGGTGTGGAGGGGGAAGGTCTCCATTTTCGGCTTCTCCTGCACACCAGAGCCCCCCTGCCGACCAACACAGAGCAACTGCAGGCTCTGCTCCTCCAGTGATCCAACAGCACCCCCTGCTGATCGTGGTTAGAATTGTGCCAAAGGGCAGAAAGTATTGAACTGTTTCCTTTTTGGAGGGGATTTTTGGGTACAGGATTATTGTTTAGTTGTTTTTGTGTTCTTTTGTTGTTCTGCCAATACACATATATCCTTTAATAAAGGGCTGTTATTTTCTTTCTTTCTCCATACTTCCTCAATTGGAGCCTCTTAATTTCAGATTTACAATTGCTTAGAGGGAGGAGTTTGGTCTTCCTCATAACTCATCCTCCTTAGTAAAACACTTCAGTCTCATTAAACTGAGACAATGCCCTGGACATTTCTCTCTCTTGCTTGCAGAATAATTTAAAGAACTTTCTGAATTATTTGCCAGAAAAAGCATTTTCTTTACTGAAAGGCCATAGCAGAACCGGAGTCCAAGGGTGATTTTAGAAGAAAAAGGTAGACAGAATAATAACAATTTGTAAGTAAGTTATCATTATAAGTCCTTTGCCCATTGATCTGATCACATGCTTGCTAGCTACTACCTGCTATTAAGTTTGTCCTTGCAGAGTTAAAATTCTTGCCCTTTGATTCAGACGTGCTGCATCTGAAATGCAACTACAAAACAATCTTCACTTGTAAACTAATATTTCTCAAGTCCTTAGTTGCTGTATATTCAAAACTGAAAGTAGTTTCAAAACTCTGTCCTCTAATTTAAACTCCTTCCTTCACTTTCTAAAACCTTCACAATATATGGGTAATGTCTTGTAACTGGTCAATCTGCAGATCAGCTGCTTTTGTTATGTTACTAAAGGTGTTTTAATTAATACAAAGCCCTTTCTTCCCCAGTGTATCAGGGCTTAATTAGATGTTGATACTTTGGTCTGTGTTTGGCCCAGCCACCTGTAAAAGTTTTGTTCTTTCCCTGCCAAGTAATGAGAAAACAAGCACTGATAGACAAGAACTTCGTCCTTGAAGCAAGCATCTGGTATAAACTCAAATTAATGGACTTGCATAATGAAGGGAGGGACTGAGGGCCTCTGGCTGGGCGGTGCTGACCACACCTGCCTAGGTAGACGTCACTCAGTTAATTGTATAAAAGCAGTTAGATCTTGTTGGAGGGGGAAGCAAGCTTCACATCAAGGACAGCGTTGCCTTTTGCAGGGATGCTTGCTATTCTTTGAGCCTGCCGACTCTCCGGGAATGCAGCTTCTGCTATGGGTAATTCTAGGCATTCTGGATCAGTAAGATAACTTTATAAGCAACACCTGGGTAATTGGGGGAGTTGTACTGAGGGCTTATTTTCCTCCTCCTTCCTCTCTTTTGGGTTTGTTCGTTTTGTTGGCCACCTCTTGGTAATAAATATCAGTTTTGTTGAGCTTTCAATGGTGTTATGGTTTCAGTTTCAGTATCTTCCGAACTGTCCCTATTACACCCAGCAAATATTTCCCAAGGATTCTCTGAAGGTAAATTTCTTACATTCATAAAAATAACCATGATTCTAAAATAATGGTTTTTACAGGCCTCTAATACAACACATCTCAAAATATTCTTCATGAAAAGCAAACCTTGCAATTTCTTAGCACCATATTTTGGGTTGTTTTACAGTGTTAACGTTCTAGGGGAAGATCCATGAAAA